TCTCTGTCCAATGGATCGCGAACAATTTCGGGAAGCCGCCCACTCGGCCATTGACGACAGTTAGTCCCTGTGCCCAATCCCTGCACCCCGCACTTCTCCAATCCCCGCCCGGATCACGACAAAAAAGCACACACGGAGAGAGAGACACAGCTAACCACCCCAAAAACAACAGTAATCAACTACTTCGATGACCTCCCGAACCAGCGCGTTCTCCCCACCATTGAACCAGGCTACCTCCGCCCCTTAATCCCGACCTCACCCCCCGAGAACCCCGAACCATGGAGCGCCATCCAGTCGGACATTGAAACCAAGATTAAGCCGGGCATCACGCACTGGCAATCCCCCAACTTCATGGCCTTCTTCCCCGCAGGTGTCACTTATCCCAGTATTCTGGGTGAAATGTACAGCGCAGCCTTCACAGCCCCCGCATTCAACTGGCTCTGCTCCCCGGCGTGCACGGAACTCGAGACAATCGTGATGGACTGGCTTGCTCAGGCGCTTGCATTGCCGGAGTGTTTCCTCAGCACGTCGGAGAACCGCGGAGGAGGTGTGATTCAGGTTACGGCGAGTGATACCGTCGCGACGATGATGATTGCTGCGAGGGAGAGGCGCGTGACTGAGATTGTGGTCAGTGAGGGATTCAAGCCTGATACGGTGGAGTATGAGGATCGGATGATGGAATTGAGGAGTCGGTTGGTCGCGTTAGCGAGTAACCAGGCGCATAGCAGTACGGCGAAGGGAGCGTTGCTGGCGGGAACGAGGTTTAGGAGTGTCGAAGCGAGGTTGGAGGATAACTTGGAGATGACTGGAGAGAGGTTGAGGGACGTTTTGGAGGGGTTGGATCGGAATAACCTGACGCCTTATTTCATTACCTTGGGTCTTGGTACGACGAATTCGTGTGCCGTTGATCGGTTCAGGGAGATTAAGGCTGTTCTGGCGGAGAAGGAGCATTGGAAGAGGATTTGGGTCCATATTGATGCTGCTTATGCCGGTGCGGCGCTGGTCGCAGATGAGTGGCAGTATCTTTCCAAGGAGTTTGCCGAGGGAGTCGACAGCTTCAATTTGAATATGCACAAGTGGCTGTTGGTTAACTTTGATGCTAGGTTTGTGCTTTCTCCATTCCTTTGCCATACTATAAGTTGCTAACTGGCATAGTTGCCTCTTCATTCGCAACCGCGAAGACCTCACCAACGCCCTGGACATCACCCCTGCCTACCTGCGCAATCACTACTCCGACTCCGGAAAGGTGACCGACTACCGTAACTGGAGCATGTCTCTGGGCCGTCGGTTCCGTGCCCTGAAGATCTGGTTTGTCATGCGCAGCTACGGTCTCACCGGCATGAAGGACTATATCCGCAAGTCCATAGGACTGGGAGATACTTTTGCTGGTCTGGTCCGCAGTCGGGCTGATCTGTTTGAGATCATCACCACTCCTGCCTTCGGGTTGACTGTGTTCCGAATTAAGAGCCCCAAGTCGGGGACGACGATGGTGGAAGCTGAGAATGGCGTTCTTGTTGCGCAGCCGGATGAGGCTGCGAACGAGTTGACCAAGGAGGTGTATGAATTGGTCAACTCTCGAGGAGAGATCTTCATTACTTCGACCGTTATCTGTAAGGTTTATGCTATTCGGGTTGTGAGTACGAACCCGGCGGCCGAGGAGAAGTACGTTAGGAGGGCATTTGAGATTTTGGTCGAGACGGCGGAGGAGGTCATTAAGCGGGGGTAGATGTTAGATACCACTTTTGGATGTTGTGGATATATTTGAGTTTGGCTGTAGATATGGCATTTGACATTGCATTCAGATAGTAGGCTTTGGGTTGTATGTAGAATAGCTCTCCTAGAACAATGACCTTAGATGATTCAGCGATTTAGACATCGCGGGATAATAGAGAAAGAAGCAAGCAAAATCAATACAACAGCATCATACATAATAATTTCAAACAACTCACATCTAGCGGATACACCCATCCTAGCCCATACGACAAAGAGTGAGCTCCATCTCGTTGACACCGAGGCGAATTCGCTCGTAAAGGGGGTTGGCAGAATTTTGGATTCACATGTCTATTATGGCGGTAACCGTGTCTGAGAGAACTGTTTTCTGGAAATGCAGATAAATTCAGCAACTGAACCAATAGTATAAAGAACGACACATTTCAATGGAGGGGAACTGCAGATGAAGTCTCGGCCAAGTAGATACGCCATATAGTTATGCGAACGGTCCGAGGGTACGACCCGGGAAAGTCAGTCCTTAGTTTCTTGGATGTAGGATTATAATGACTGTCAAATCCCTTGCCAATCCATTTGACATAAAGAAGTACATCAAGCTAAACATTAAAATTCACTTGTGACAAAGACATTAGCTTTCCACAAAGCAGAGAAACCGCGAATGGCCGCCCACTCACGGAAGAAAGAAGTTATAATGATAAAGTCATTGTGAAAAAAGTGACAAAGCCACACTATACATGCAATGGAAGATCCCGCTGCAGACCGTACATTACATCGAATGACTACCGTTTTTCGCAAGGGAAACGACGCACCAACCACAACCTCTCAAAGACATCCGCAGATCATATAAGTACTTATCACCTCTTCAGAAACCCAGTCTTTGTCAACACGTTTCATCTATCACCCCCTATTCTTCCTGGCCTTTGTAACGCACACAGCCAGAGAAGGCAAACCCCATGCCATGCATTACCAGTACTATAGAGTAGCAAACCAACATGGATGTCTCCGAATCATGTTCCCCTGGACGAAAGATATATAGATGTACATGATGTACCTCTTGAACAGGGGGATGTATCGACTGCCAGCCCTAGTTCCATCACCAGTCACTGCCAGCATCACTATATAAACGTCATTTGTCAACACACGCAAAATTTGAGGGAAAAAGCCATTTGTCGATTGTCTATTCAAGATGCACCACATCGAAGAACCAATCGCTCAGATGGAGGACTTCAACATGCTCAGTGATAGTGATATGGATATGGTTGATGGGTTGGTGCCAAATTCTGCCGCCTGTTGTTTCATCCCTACCTCCAACCCCGCTGATTTCAAGGAGAATATACCTCCTCCAGCAGAGGATGAAGGCACCATCGACGACGATGCTACCGATGTGGCTACCAAGGTAGCTACCGATGTTGATCTCAATGAAGTCATGGAGGACTTGGACATCGATCATGACTATGAGGCGTCCGAGAGTGGGGATGATAGCGAGTACAGTGAGGAGGATATGGACCTTGCAGATGGTGATAGTGAGCAAGGTGTCGATAGCGACTGGGGGGATGATGAAGAACGGACAAAAGCTGAAGCAGATGAAGAAGAAGACTACGATCCCGAGAACGCGCCCATCAAGAAATCCAGTGTTGATCGCATCGAAGACACCTTCGATCATCTGTATGAAAATGACGAACGTCCATCATCTTCTCATCATAATGAGGATGATAGCATGGAAGATCTGGTCTATGAGGATACCGAAAGCGATGATTCTGGATCAGCTGAGTCTGATGATGGAGACATGGAGGACATCTCAACCGACGACCAGGATGAACCTGTCTGTTGCATCTGCTCGAATATGGATATGTCAGAGTGAATCTGAGGATGATTCTGGGGATGATTCTGAAGACGACGATGATTACGTCGACGACGACGATGACGACGACGCTTTCCCTGGATGCGACTATCTAGGATTGGCCGACTATGTGGAAGGGCGCGATACGAAGCAGGGAAGTATGCATGATCTACGCCCATCAAACCAACCGTACCCAGAAGATCCAACGGCGAAACTACATGTGTTGATTAAAATCACAACCTACAGTCCACATACCCTAATTCGCGTCCCCGTGAAGCCACTGGCCCTTTCATCCAGGGTCTTCGCCGAAATCTTCGGCTATCAAGAAACCGGCGACGCACAGCCCAACAACCAGGCTCGCTGGGACGAGGATGAGCTTGTCTGGGTAAAAGATCTGTCGTTCGATTGGCCCAACCCCGCAGCTATGCTATGGGTTCTGCGGGCCCTGACCAGGGGATGGGTCGATTGGCCAGGATCTATTGAGCTTGTGTTTCTCAAGGACATCGCTGTCATTGTGAATAGATTCGAGCTACGAGATGCTATGAAGCCCTTTTCGGCTGCCTGGCTGGGAAGCACCTGTGTGAAACCAAAAAGATATGTGCCCTCACACAAAGAGCTTGTGGACTGGGTGTTGTTCATTACTTGGGTATTTCAGTCTGGATCCGGACGGGATTTCCGATATGCTACGCGTGGAGTGATTATGGATTACACGTTCAAGTCCAAGCCAAAAGACGGACTTCTGCCCAGGGATATGTATGAAGCTATTTACCAGGCTCGATCGGAGCTGTGTCAAAGCTTTGCGGAAATTATCCGGGAATACTTGGGTTTCATGCCAAAAAACGAGCAGAGGGGTCTCTGGGATCTCTGTGAGCATCAATCCTTGGATCCTTGGATATCTATCTTTATGGCCTTGGAAAACCCCAGCGCGTACAAAATGTCGCTGAATCGTATTCATCAGAAGATGAATTTGCTGGTGTTCGGCAGACTTACAATTGAGCCTTTATACTGTGCGTGGTGTGAGGGGACATGGAGAACCCTACAAGCCTGCGAAGATGAGATGCGACGGACACTGGGGATCGACTGTGATGGGAATCAGGTACAAGAGTCCGAAAAATGCGAGGGTACGTGCTTGCATCTGCCGCAGTTCAACTTCAAGCGATGGTCCTGGCCTAGTCCAGAGTGGGTGGGATGCAGGGCTGATGCAAAGCCGTGCACGAAGATCGATGGGTTTGACGCAAGTCGTGAAAAGGATGAAGACAGCATAGTGTATTTTTAGAAGGCGCCTTTCGCTGTGTCATACACGGGAATATTCTCTGTTTAGGTTCAATGGACTCGGGGAATTTCCCCGCACTTACGCCATGACAGCATTATTAATGCAACTGTATCACATCAGCAATAACTAGTAAATATTTCTCTTCCTCTTCTGCTCACTCTCTCTACTTGTTTCTTCAATACACAAGCACTAGTGCAACTCATCTTCCCCTCCCCCATAACCATGCCCCTCGCTAGAGCAACCTTCAACGACATCGTCCTCGCCGAATCCCCCACCTGGGAGACCGTCGAAGGGAACATCTATGTAAGCCCCCAAACCACATAGCCTAGATACCAAAACCGACTTACCACAAATATCCAGTTCCCACCCACAGCAATTAAAGATAAATCACTCTTCGTCCCTATCGACAAAGTGACATATTGTCCGTGGAAAGGAGATGCATCATATTACTCTCTTGTGATTGGACGTGAGGATCTCCCCACCCCATCTCTTCGTTTGTTTAAACTGCCCCTCTACGGAGACAAAATGATTGTATCGTTGCTAACAGACTGATATATAGCTACGACAATCCCCGGTGCAGCTTGGTATTATCCCAACCCCTATGATGCTGCAAGCAATATCAAGGACCATGTGGCGTTTTGTATGTTTGACCTATTAATTGTTTCTAAGCTAGGTGAAGTTGTGAAGTCAGCTAACAGCACACGGGTTCAGACACGACAGAGAGTATTAAAGTGACCGTGGAATGAAAGCATAGTTGAGCTTGATGTGGTGAATGGCATGTTTGTAGTAAGCATGGATGATTGATACAGAAGTACTAGTTTGATATAACATTCACATTTAAAACACGAGTACATTTATCCTAGTACGAAAGAAGCAAGCACTCGTCACTCACTACTCCACTCCTTCACAAGGCCACCATACTTCTTCCTCAAAAATTGAATGCCGGCCTCCGCCAACCTTCCAATCTTCCCAATCTTCGCAATCTCCACCATGCTTAAAATCCTGACTGAGATCGCCTCACAACCCGCGCTAAATCTCCACCGCCATAAGCGAGTCAATAGACATCTCTTGAATCTCCTCGGACATCTCAGCGGCCCGCGGCATATGTCGCGCCAGGTGCTTGCTCAATTCGTGTGTCAAATTGTTCTCCACCTCGGGCTCATTCAGCATGGCCGGGTTCTGGTCGACCCTCTGTAGGGGCTCTCTGAGTGCTCCTACTGAAGAATTAGCGGGGAAGGCAAATGGAATGCTGCAGACGTCAATCTTCAGGTCGACTTACCATCAAATACTCGGTGATCAGTGTTTCTAGGATAGTTAGTGTATTGTTATGAAAAGTCTGACCGGAATGAGGCTTCCAACATACCAGGGCAAAGTTCACGGAGTTGCTGTAGGGCTGTTCCGAGTCGTGGAGTCGTGTACAGCTATGCTCTTGGTCAGCCTAAGGTTCCCAATCCGACGATTCTACAACGCGGTCGCCGAGCAGTTCATGGTGCGGATAGTCTCGAAACCTCCAGTTGTGAGTCAAATGGCTCTCATACAGGTATCTCGTGGTGTGCTGCCAGGGATACAAGGGTAGATTAGTCAGGGTGACTCCTTTCCCGATGATCTCTTGCAGGTCGACTGAACCCCATTTGCATGCAGGGATCCAGCACTCACCCAAGTAAGGACAGAGTGTTCATCTACACGTTCTTCCCCGCCCCCAAGACCTATCTATGAAGATCCCCAGAGGGGCCCGACACGTACGAAAATCACTTCCTATTGAAGCGTCTGCTCATGCATGAAGAGTAGGGCACAAACAGCAATAGCAGCAGCATGCAATGGAATGCCCCTTACCCAGGCTTCCCATGTCTCTGCGCTCACCAAGAAGGCAATTCTGAAGTGTCTTTATCTCATTCTCTATTTTCTGCGGTCGATACATTGACATCAACATGAGCCATATTATGATTGCAGCTGGTGGCAATAAATTGGAGAATGAAGAAAATCGCACATTGAAGCCTTCTTCTCTTACTTTTTGTTCTCTCCAGAATGGGATACCGGGTTCATCAACCCAACCACCCACGTCTTGCCCTTCGGCCACCCGCACAGCGCATAACAAAACCAAAGTATGGTCTGTAACACAGTAACGATTACCACTGATAGATATTATCCTCGTTAACGGTCAATGATTTTGGGATTAACCAGCTGAGAGCGCAATAGCTGCATGATGGATGAAGTAGGTGTATCGCTGACCTGGGCGGATTTCCTTCCTGCTGCCGGCCTTCTATGAGAACCCTGCTGGTTCTCTTAAATAGGCCGTGGAGTCATCTGACTTTCACCTCTGCTAACCCAGTCGACCTCTTTTTGTTCATTGGTTCAGACGATTCGGGTTTTTTCTCCGTAGAGTAACCCGGCCATTGTTGTGCACGAACGAGAATGCTGTACACCATTGGGAATGTGGAGTCCTTTCCATGGTTTTTTTTTCCCCCCCCCCCCCCTTTCTTGGGGTAGGGATATGTTAGTAGGAATGCTCAGACTTTAGAGCCAATAAGTATATTATTCTTTTTGTTTTCCTCCCTCCCTCCCTTCTCATAGAGAGTCAACGCGCCATCATAATCTCCGTATTTATTACCCAGTCAACAAAATCAACAATAAGCACCATGCGCCTCCTCAATCTTGCCCCAGTTCTGTGTCTGCTCGGATCCACTCAGGCCATATCATTAGGCCAACGCTGTCTCGAAGCACTCAATGCCATGAGCACCGTTCCCGGCCAATACATCGCGACCATCGAGCGGGATACATGCAGTTGGGGCTGCAAACCTCGGCCAGAGGAATGGGATACAGTGTTCGAAGGGGTCATCCAAAAGGTTGTTGAAGATGGGGCGCGATACACTGGCATTGACGATCCCAAGGCGCAGGCTGCTTTCGCAAGCTACCTGAATGACGTCTTCCAAAATGTCAACAGTAAATGTGGTGATCGCCTCGGCGACGACAATCTGTGCAGCGATTCTCCCCAAGCGCTGGCACTGAAGCAATGCGTCGATGATAACGCCAAGTGGGCAGCAACGACAGCTGCCTTGCGGCTGGTGGGCTATTTGTCCGAGGACAGGTGCGAGAAGGTATCGGATTACTTCAAGAGTGAGCAGCTGTGGAACAAGGATTTGCCGAACAGGTCACAGGTCTATGTTCAGAATTGTTAGGGGGTATAGACTTTGGCTGATAGAGGTTTCCAACGCTACCTTTATGGTCCGCGGAGGAAAGAGGGATTGTCGCTTTCCGATGGGGTCAGACGAGAGACGGATAATCGGGCTGAAATGAAAGGAATAACTCGTGACGGATAATGGAAGAGCCATGTCCAAATCAACCTTTCGGAATCAATTTTCGCGATGATCAGTAGGGCATGGTGGTGAGCGGAAACGGAATCCATGGCAGGTATTTGCGAAGAATTAGCCAGGCGTCTATATACAATTGAGATGCCAAGGGCTTCAAGTAGAGGTCTGCAAGCTTGTATCTCTTGATGACGGCGTCGCATTGTGTAAAAGTAAACCTTCCTTCCATGCTGGAACAAAGTGTAATGACAGGATATGCTCTGGAGTATTACTGAGACTGTTTGGAATTGAACAGATCATCCCCGAGACAACTCCGGGTCTGTCAGCTCGTTCAACAGTTCCGTCCAGTCTGCAGTGTCCAGAGCTAGGTCGTTGCCTGTCTCAAGCATCTCGGTCCAGATGTCCTCTAGATGCCTCTCTTGGGGAACATCATCGGTGCTAGCATCTGGGGGATGTGAAGGGACATTGCTTGATTCAGTACTGAGAGGTTGGGCATAAGCCTGTGTATGACCCGGATGAGAACGAACTGCGTCATTACCATGTGGAACAACAGGGGGCATCTCGTCACTCCGCTGCAGCTTTCCGGTCCTCCAATGCTTTTGCAAAACGCCCATCATTGCATTGATTCCTTCTCTGACTAGGGCAGACGACTCTTGTGCCTTGCTCAGCATGCGGCAGGCCTCTAGCACTTCTTCCTTTCGTTTCTCAGCGAGTATATCGTCCCAGTTGAAGCACACGTCCAGCAATAGTATCACGGCGGCAGCGAATACATGATGCATGACTGACCAGACGACAGAGTTTGGCGGAGTATAGTTCGGTTCGTTTCCATCCATGATCCTCTTGATCTCCAGTACCTTTCGGGCAGACTGTAGACAAATAACATGGGAGTAGGAGTATGCCGGTTCACGAGCTCCTCTGATGAAGAAGTCACGATGTAGGCGGCACAAACGCGAGAAGAAACCCTGTTGCAGGAGACAGCCTTGCCAGGCAATGGTCGGGCGCTCTTCGTAAAGCGAAGCAAACCGCCGTCTAGATGATGGATCCAGCCGGAAGAAATCAGGTATTTCAGCCACAGCTTGATGGAACTTTCGGTCTAGCTCGAGGACTTTTTCGTATTGTGGCTCCAAGCCATGCAGGTGCTCGTAGGATGTTGCATCAACTACCTCTCGGCTGACAGACGCTAGTTTCAGACGTTGAAGGAAGAAGGACATGTCTGTTGGTGTGGAACTTGGCAGTGATACCATTTCGCGACGCATTGCACTGTCATCTATATTTAAGGGTTGGTTGACGTTCATGTGGCGCGGCTGGATGAGATACGTCCACTCTTGAGGGCCAGGGAGGAAGCCCAGTAGCCTGCAACTTTAGTGAGCACTTGGCATGTAAAGAGCTTTTAATAGTTCTTACCAGTCGAAAGACGTCAGATCCCACCAAATTCGTCTCTTGAGTTCCAGATCTACTGGATTGTAATCAGATCCCTCCCTCTCATTCCGAAACCGTGGAGAGTCAATGCAATGGAGCATAAGACTCTTTGCTTGGCTGACGATAGCACCGTGCACAAAGAGACCGCTCACAGACGGTGGAATGTTCCAGTTGGAGACATTATGCATGACCACCATGGTGGCCTGCAAGCCCACGAGCGTCGGAGACAGGGAGTAATGGCTCTGGATCAACGCGGCACCAGTAAGGAAGGCAAACTCTCGGCTTCGATCTCCTACATCGGAAGATGCCACCACAGTTTGCTGCAGACATAGAGAGCTGGCTAGGATGCCGAAAAGAAGCGCCAAATGGCTGAGGTCTACGGGCTTGCCACTTTCGATGCAACAGTAGATGCCATCTATTTGATCTTCCACGCACTTGGGGACAAGGATATGGTAGAGATAGTCGACGTAACAATGATAATATCGAAAGAGATTCAAAGCCTCCGATTTTGGGGGGACAAAGTCAACCAAGTTAACCGACGCCGGATTCTCGTTGATGGCAGACCGATTCATGTATGGCATTGACAGCAGGGGCCTTGCAGGCCCTGTCTCCTGGTTCACGCTTAAGTTGCGCCCTCTTACCGAATCGTCTAGTTCATCTCGAAACCATTTCGGGGCTGCTGTTGGCACCCGATCAGCCATGTGAATGTTCTCCAGCCAGTCCGCTGTGAGTAGCGACTCCCGATTGCTTGGCCGCAATGGAGCTTCAGTAGGTCCGGTAGGAACATTTTCGGCTCCCGGGGGCACACTTGAGCTACTCGTAGGGGGTGTCTGCATTGCGCCAGCCGGTGATGGGTTCGGAACCCTTGCAGCCTCTGGTCTCCCATAAATGCACGCCAATCGGCGGGCGGAGCAACCGCCGCATGGCTGCTGGCGATCGCATTTGATTTTCTTGTGCCGACAAGAGTCGCAAGACACGGGGTCCTGTCTGGGAGCGCGTCTGGAGGTATGCGGCAATTGTAATGCAGCCTTGCGCTTCATGATGAGATGCTGAGTTGATAACTTGACCAGAGGCGATTAATTGACCGAATCACGTGAGCATCAGTCTCCGTTCTAGCAACCAGTCATTTCCCTTCTGCACTACAATGTTGTAGAGAGCAATGTTCCGTGATGCTGAAAGAATTGTTGTCGGTTGTTTCTGCAGTGTGGAAATGTTGTTAGTGATGGCCCGCCGCCGCCGCCCGGAAGCTCCGCGGACAGTCCGAGCCGACCCATCAAGCTTCATACATGCTATCACAACACCATGAACCATGTCCCCGGAGGCTCCGGGGGTTACAATATGTATCCCCTTGTCACTGTATGCAGATGGTATATATGCGCTCAGAGGCTCTGCTTCAACCATGTCCCTTCAACCCAAAATAACATTGAGCCTCAACAGACACTATCTTCAGCTTCAACTTGTCAAACCTAACTAGCAACCATGGCTCACCCTAACGATGCTCCTTCCACCAAACCACCCTCCGAATACACGTACATCACCCAATTCCCCAAACAAAAAGCACATCACTAACCACCTCAGACCCATCGCAATAATGACCCTCCTCGGCTCATTCTGCGGCATGTTCTGCACCGTCGGCTTCGTAAACTCCTTCGGCCTCTTCCTCGAGTACTACAAAAAAGACCAACTCTCCAACCAACCCGAATCAACCATTGCATGGATAGCCTCCATTGACATCTTCTTCATCTTCGGGGTGTCAGTCGTATCTGGCCCTCTACTCGACACTCTCGGGCCACGAGTGCGTATCCACCCCACGCACATCCACACTATACACCCCATAACTAACTAGTAGTAAACGATGCAGCTCCTCCTCTGCATCGGCTCCCTCGGCACCATCTTCTCCATAATGATGACCTCCCTCTGCAAACAACTCTACCAATTCATTCTCGCCCAAGGCATCCTCCTCGGCATCTCCCTATCCCTACTCACCTGTCCCATGATCGCCCTCGTCGGCCAACACATCAAGATCAAGCGCGGCGCAGCAGTCGGCATCGTGATCGGGGGATCCTCCCTCGGCGGCGTCCTCTGGCCGATCATCGTTAACGAATTGCTCAAGAAACCCAACATCGGGTTCGGATGGACCATGCGCATCGTGGGATTCATCATGTTGCCGCTACTCACAGTGACGTGTTTCTGCTGTAGGCCTGCTGCACCTCCATCACCATCTCAACAATCGCAGGTGCAGCCAGAACCAGAATCAGAAAAACCCACCCCCTCCCCAAAAGAATCAGAATCAGAATCAGATACATCCCCCCTCCTCAAAAACCCAACCCTCCACCTAACCTGCCTCTCCTTCTTCATCATCTACTTCGGGATGTTCTCGCCCTTCTTCTACGTCTCCAGCTACGGCGTCGCGAAGGGCTTTTCCTCCTCGTTATCATTCTATACGATCTCAATGCTGAACGGCGCGTCGCTGTTCGGGAGGATCATCGGGGGCATACTAGCTGACAAGTACGGACGGTTTAATGTCTGTATTGTGTTTACGATTCTCTCCGGGGTGGTTTGTCTTTGTTGGACGAAGGCCACGAGTGTAGCGGGGTTGGTGGTGTTTGCGGTGGCGTATGGGTTTGCTTCGGGGGTGAGTGATCCCTTCTTTTTTCTATTCTAGGTGGTAGTGAAGATGGGGGTGGATGAAAGCTAATGGTGATGGCTATGTGTATAGGCTATCCTTTCCCTCCAACAGGCATGTGCATTGCAGCTTGCTACGCCGAAGACGGTGGGGTTGGCGGTGGGGGTTGTTATGGGGGCTACGGCTTTGAGGTATTTGCCCACTAGTATTCCATATGGTAGTGGTGGTGGTGCTTGGCTAACGGTATTTGGGATGGATATAGTGCTATGGCTGGGATACCTATCTCTGGGGCATTGGTGCAGAAGTATGGGTTCCTTGCGCTGTCGGTATACGCCGGGGTGAGTCTGTTGGTGGGTGGGTTGTTGTTGATTGTGGCGAGGGGGAAGCAGAGGTTGGAATTTTGGACTGTTGTTTGAATACTTCTTATATACCACCGAGGGTGTTGAGTGATAGATGGGATGTTGTGTGGTTGCCGGTCTGGTATGGTATGCCGGGTAGGCTAGAGGGTGATGATGGCTGTTTTATAGATTTGCTTCCATGTTTAGATCCGTCGATGCTGTATTAGTGCTAGTTACTTAGTCCTCATATAATAAACCAGATATCTCCACTCATCTGCAACACAATTAACATCCCCTAGGAAGAAGTGTACTCCCCTTCCGCATCCGACTTAAACCACCACCACTATAACCCGCTCCCTGTCCCAATTCTCTCTTCGCAAAGCCCCTCCATATCTCACATCGATTCTTACCCCCAGTCAACACAATATCTGCATCAAGGATGGCATCTCTAGCTTGCACGAAGTTCGGATTACATGGTTGTCTTCATTCAAATATTAGTCAAGATCCGACAGACACTCCGACGGTGAAAACAAAGCTATCCTGTGGATCACTTACAGCGCCATCCCATCCACCACCAACTTCATCATCAAGTACTTCCCATCTATCGGCACTCCATTCCTGAACACCGGTCTCGGTCCATCATTCTTCCCGTACTTATCAATGAGATTCCACATCACCTCGTACAGCATAGTCGCCCAGACGGTTCCGATAGCGTGCACGCCATTCATGGTATTCACGCTCGTGTAGTTCAGAGGGTTCTCAGCGAAGGAAGTAGAGTAAGGGTAGTCGCGGACACCGCGTTTATCGTTATCCGCCCAGGCGCCCATAGTGTAGGACGTCCTGCGCGTATCATTGGGCTTGATTCGGATGGCTGTGGCCATAAAGTCGCCCCAGCCTTCGCCCATACCGCCCGATTCGAGGGTGTTGAGACATCCGGCGTTGTGGGAGCCGCCGGTGAGGCGGTTCGATACTGAGAGGTTAGAAGACTGAGTTGGTCAATTGGTAAGGGGAGGTGGGGGGTCTTACCGCCGTGAGTGTATTCGTGAATTACGATGCCCGCGTCGAAACTTCCATCACGCGACGGAGTGGATTCAATCCAGATGTACATGCGCATACGGCCGGGGATACCGTCGGGTGGAGTGGCAAAGTTTGCGTTGCTGTATCCGGAGCCGTCTTGTGCGTTGAGGATCACGTAGTCTTTGTCGCGGCCGCCACGGGCGCTGTTGTTCCATTGGAAGTTGCCGGCGGATTCGGTGAAGCCTAGTGTGTAGAGGAGGTCGTGGTAGGTGTTTGCTGTGTAGAAGAGCTGGACAATGGAGGCGTTGATGTATGACCGGGGTGGGGACATGTTGGCGGAGTAGGGCCATTGGAAGTTCAAGTCGGGGTTGGAGGGGCGTAGGTTGTAGAGATAGGAGCCACCGCCGCTGGGATTCCAGTGCGCGATGGCGTTGTTGCCTCTCGTTGTGGTGTAGTTGTTTTGTCCATCGCTGATCCAGGTGTATTCGGATGCGGATAGGTCCCAGGGGTTGGTGAGGATGGTGCGATGTCCTTCTGTTGGATCGTTGGTGCCCCAGGGACTGTTTCTTAGCTTGGTTGTCTGTTTGGTAGGGTCACTTACTAGACTTGATATGTCGCGTCTGCCACGTAGTCCACTACGCCATGGACAGTGGTGGTTTCTGCATCAATGTAGGTCAGTAGCCAGTGCTCGTACATGTCTATTTCCACCCGCCATGTGAGTGCCAGAGTCCCATCTGGCTTGACGAGGTAGACTAGTTTGGCTGTAGGGTCAGATACCGCTCCCGCTGCCTGTCTGAAGATGTACCCGTTTTGTCCATTAGCAGCTTCTGTAGAAACATTGTCAATGGTGAGTGGGAGCTGTAACGCGTCCCTTGCTCCTCTCAGAGCAGCCGTGGGACTCATGGCATTGGGATTGTCCAGATAGCTGCTCGGCAACACGCCTGTGAAGAATGAATGTCCGAAAGATAGAATCTGTCCGTATCTTCCAATCTGTGACTGTGAGATTTTCTCTACCAGAGTGAGTGGGGCGCATACATTAACATTAAAGTCCGCATTGTCAATGTCAATATCATGAGCCGTTTGGCGAAAGTATACATGCGCAACTCCATTGTCGCCAACATAGTGGTCATCGACGAGACGGAAGCTTGCTCCAGGAACAATGTTCGGAACCAGTCGTGCTGCTGTATTGGTGTAGTGTTCATCGCCGGACATTGTTACTGATTGGTCTGCTTTCACATCGATTGAGTTGACATATTCTGTGTTGGAGGTCAAACGAAGGGAGTTCAAATCCACAGGTGCTGGAGTTGAGGCCGTAGCATATGCCAGGATGGCCAACGGCAATGCTGCTATGCTGAAGACGAGACGGGTTCCATGCATGTTTGCTAATGGGTGAATGGAATGAAAGATGGTTTAGGATCATTGACAGACTAAAACATGGTCTATATATACTGCCCATTTGCTCAGGTACTATAAGAGCAGTCAGTACAGCCATAGCTACCCCTATCCTTCCCATTTTCCCATAGCATCCCCTATCAAGAAAGCTACTGTCCGACGTTGCATGGCTGTCTAACGATAGCGATGTACAACCTCTCCCCCTCCGATATCATTGGTCTATCGATGGCTGACCTCCCGGGTTGTCTCACAAGCTAGCTTCAAGCTAGCTTGCAGAGTGTTAAGGGATCCCATAAAAAGGTACTCCAACAACAATAGATCAAATCTAGTCTGTGTAATACTAAAGTGCTGGTAGTACGCTTCCTGAGAACGGAAGATCGTCCCGCTGTGAGACAAGACCGACTTCCCATAATTCGCCGGCACTAGTCAGTCACTTTTATACTAACGGAATCACCAGTTACCATGCAAATTACCGCCATTGTCTCTGTAGGAGACAGACAGCTCCGCTGAGGAATCCTTTGGTTAGAATTTTACGTTGCAAAGCAGCGGCTTTGGCAAGGAGATGATCAGGGTCTGCCGAAGTCGAAGGGTATTTATTGTCGATTTTCAGTAAGCTTGCATGATGGGAATTATATCTTAGCAGACTGCTCCAATTTCCGCGCCCGATCCTTTGCAATATCGCACATTGCCTGTAAAGAGCCCATTGTCAGCACTGTTCCGTGGTTGGGTGACAGCCATCTCACCTGTATGATCTCCTCCACTTCGCGATCGGCGTCACCCCGGTCGATCCTCTCACGCATCTCCTCCATGATGACATCCCTGTTGCGGCCGTTGACGAAAGTACTATGCCACGGAGATATGTTAGACCAACACAAGTCATTGGGTGATTGGGAACATACACAAATCGCAAGCCAGGGAACTTCTCCTCATATTCCGCATTCATCCGCTTCAGCTTCTCTGCTTGTTCCTCTGCTCCCGTGTTCAGGTTTGCTTGTTCCTTCTTGCTCAGTTCGCTCAAGTGCTCCGTCGGGGCTCCCTTGGGCTGTCCCAGGCGGGGATGCGATCCCAGAATCCCCACCAGGATATCGCGATCTTTGGACGAGTTGGCAGCGGACAGAGCGGACATGCGACCGCCAACCGCATCAATCAGAGTGGAATAGGATGAGAATGTCTGGTTTGCGAGAACGGGAGCCATGAGGGTGTGCAGCTCCGGGGACGACTCGAACAGGGTATCCAGGACGCGGAATTGCTGCTCCTGCGGGAGTGATGTAATAGACGACGGAGCGGGGAGATCGGAGGACATGATGGCGGGGAAGGGAGGAGATTAATTGACAAGAACTATGAGCTGAAGCTGATGTTTTCGAGTAAAAGTAACTTGATCATATCCCGTTTGTTTGAAAAAGCAATGGTGACAGTTAAAAGTGGGTGGTAGTTGGATATATGCTGCTTCAATGAGTCCCCGCATCGGCAGCCTCCGAGCGATGAAGAGGCAGCGGGACGGAGACCTCCAGATGCGGACAGTTTCAACCACCCCCATACCCCCATCACATTGCAAATGAGACCAATCTCAATTGCAACGAGGGATCAGTTATTCACAGAAATTTGGACTAAGGCTGAAGGTGCACGGACAAGAGCTGTGGGAGCTAAAGCTAGAGCTTAAGCTTGAGCATCTCATCAGCATCCGTTAAAATTATTACATTGCAGACTGACGACACGGTCGGACATGCTCAGAATATCCGCAGGGGTTCTAGACCCCTGACCTTCCATACTGGAATCTGGGGAGGGGGTTAAAGCGATGACAAGAATTGGATTGTCCATCGATAGTGGCCATGTAAGGTGGGATAAAGTTTAAGTGGGCAACCAGATAGACTCCATCCAGGAGAATTTCCCAGCGATAGAGAGATGGTATATTTGGGGCCTGGATAATTAGCAGTGGACGATCGCATGGCTATCCTGACCGATTTTGAGCCTAGCCGATACGTATGAAGTATTAACACCATACCGTCGTGTATGGCCTTGGTATCCTATCGGTAAAGTAAGTAACCGTCGCACGGCCCTGGCAGCGACCAGGAAAGTCACCTGCAGATGGAAAGCAAACCCGCATCATCCCTGCTGCTGCTTCTTCTTCTTCTTCTTCTTCCTCCTCCCGTTCACGCCGGTTGTCGGGTGCCGAGAGGAATTGGAACCACGAGCAACATGAGTCGTTCTCTAACAATTGTATTCCGCGACCGTGGAGAAGGGGTGTGAACTAGTACTAACGACTACTAAGTAAGTCAGTCGGTACCTGAAGAGTCAGTCAATTGGAAATTGGTTCAACCAATAGTCTCACGGTCGGACTTCCTTCTGCGGCGTCATTATTGGATCCCCATCTGGTGTTGCCTTCAGGGACATAACTTCATCAAGTACTAGTAGTAGTCCACTTGTCAATGGCCTGATTAATGAGAGTAGGAGACAGAGACAGACACATTAATATAGATAGGGATTAATCTACTTGACTTCCTTTCTTTTTCTTCTTCTTCCTTTCCCATTCTCTCTCTCAGTGAATGAATGAACTTATTCAAGTTATTTCGACTTGTGACTTGAAAGTGGAGAGAGAGAAAGGCACCCGGGCCAATCCACTTTTTCCACACCCATTATTATTAACCAACCAACCAACCATCACTCACCATCTCTCCCCCATTTCTGCCCCTGAACGGGCTCAAGACCGGGTTGAACTCCTGAGAGGTTCGTGGGCATAAGTCACCAACCAACTCGGTCCCCTCGGCCGTCTTTGCGGATGGATCAGCATTCTTGTTCACAAAAAAGGAATTAGTTATACATTGTATCTGATTCTCAATCCATCCCCCCGTTTAGTGTGTCCCGCCCGTCTTGATCTCGCTCCACCGCTGGTGTGTGTCTCGCTCTCGCTGCCATCACACATCGAGGCCCGGCGCACTGCTTTTGCTTTGCTTTGCTTCCTTACATCCTGAACCTTTCCGCTAGACCCTCCCTTTCCCCTCTTTTTTCTCCTCTCGCCCCTCCTCTTTCTTCTCTTCCCCTCCTCCCCCCATCGTCCATCATCATCATCACTTGGATTCGTGATCTGTGACGGTCCTGGGCATCTGCCTCCAATGCAGTTCCCGTCATGTCGCTCAATGGGCTAGATAATCCCACCGTCATCGATGCCTACCAGACCGCGCTCACCGAGGCCGGTGGATGGTGAGTAGTCCGTGTGTCTCGGCTATACCCTGCAGCACCTTCGGGTCCTCCGTTGCAAGGGTGGCCATTGCAACCCAATCGCATCGACTGTCGCTAATGCGCATGGCTTGCGTCTCTTCTAGGTTTCTCCTCCGGTATGTATCAAGGGATGAAGTTGATCTCCTTGATCGCGGCACCGGCGGGGTGCCCGACGTGCGCAACGCGATCGACGGCTACGAGGAGAAGTCTCCGCTCTATGGCTTCCTACAATATCGGCGACGGAAAGTAGTCCTCAGCTATCTGCCAGAGGGCATGTCCCGTCTCGTTCAGGGTTGGTCCAGATATATTGTCCCATCCTGACAATCCTGCATCCACTGACCTCGTCACCCTCCTGCAGCCCGAACGACGGTCCAATTCCAATCGATTCTAGACAAGTTCTCCCCGCATGATACGGTATTCTCGGTGACGCAGCCATCGGAACTTACAGAAAGCGCATTGTCCTCCGCATGCTTACTGCATACGGCTTCCGGTTCGATCACTTCCTCTTCCAGTTCCCTCCGCCGTCGCCGATTGAAAGAGATCGCGGAAGATGCCGAAGAGACTACCGTAGGCAAGGACGAGAACCAGGCGCAGTCCGCGGCCGATGGAATGCCGCGCCAGAGATCGTTCAGTCAGCTGTCCGAAGCCACGGTGGTTCCCCCATCAGTGGTGTCGAGTATCCAGCAATCCCCAGTCGGCAACGATTCGACCCCGAGAACTTCCGAGAACGCCTCCATTCGAGAGCGGTCCTCGTCCGTGGCCACATCGGAGCGGGCTCCTTCCTATAAGAGCTTTCGAGAAGACGCATCCTATGCTCCGTCGGAGCCCCGCCAATCTTCGCAGTCTGCCAGGCCGTCCGTACGCGACCTGGAGCGTGCCGGATACAAAGCTAAGGTCAAGCTGGGCCCCCGCCCTTCAGTAGATGGCAGCGGACGCCCTCGCACGGCAGGCAACCTCTCTCGGAGCGCTGAGCGGCGGCCGGTGGCATCTTTGCCTGCGGGCGTTCGATCATCGTCCCTGCGCAAGTCCAATCCCAGTCCTTCGCGCCCTCGATCTTCTGGAGGCAACGGGACCCCCGTCGCCAGCAAAGTACCAGCAGTGCCTCCGTTACTGGTGCCTCCCTTTTCCATGCCCATCTCGCGGCCCAAGATATCGCCCGGTGCCAAGTCACTGAGCGCGCTGTCTTCCTCCACCACGTCCAACGAGAAAGAGCGGTTGATGAAGGCGCTTCAGATGCGGAAAACGCAAATGGAGAAAAAAGCAAAGGAAGGGAAGAACAGTGCCGCGACAGATAAAGGAAAGACGTCCGGGCTGGATATGACCGAAAATAAGGAGAACATCGGTCATATACCAAGTAAAATGAAGCACGACGGGGGCGATGACCGAATGGCCCACTTGGCAGGGCCGAACAAGGAGCCCCTTTCCGAAACTCAGCCAAGCCTGCAGCCCACGCTCCGTCATCAGGGGGCTGAAGAAGAAGACGGCCGTACTACTCCTAAATCCCCTGAGCCCTCGGGCGACCACCTCTCCCTTAGCGAACCAGCACACCTGAGCGACAGCAGTAATGAGTTTCAGGCGACAACACCCACTCGTTCGGGATCTGAAACGCAGGAGGGCGACAGGGACTTGGATGCATCCAATTCCGGAGGCGTCTCGGGTGGCCCCAGCTCCCCGACTAGGCTGCCTAGCGCCATCGCCGCTCCACTCGAGAACAATTCTGGAAAGGCTCCGGACGAAGAGATTGTTGGCCCCTCGCCACCAAAACCAGTCCCCCATCCTGTTGTTCCTGGCGAACAAGAGGTCCTCCCTCACCACCACCACCAACCCAGCACGCCAGACGTGACTGAGTCCGATCTATTCGAGTCGCCTGCTCGGCCCGATTCCCCCCATCATCTTCCAGCGGTCACCTTCACCCCCAAGTCCTTGTCGATCGCCGCTCCCCCTCCGACGGAGCCGCAGCATGACTTGACCCCTGAATCCTCGAATGTGGAGCGACAGCACAGCACGTCTCGAAAGGAGAAACGCAAACCCTACCTCGAACCTATTCAAGTCCCAACTCCCGACTACTCGGATGACGAGAACCTTCTTTCAGACGACTCCTTCATGGAAGAATTGACCAGTGCCACGGTTGAGGAGGCCAAGCCCATCTCCGTGGGCGTGTCACCCCTCTCCCCAGGCTACTCCAACAGCAGCAACGGCAACGTCTCGCCTGATGCGTGGAGGAATTCGCGTGCCGTTTCAAACCCCAGTGCCATTGGTCACCAGTCCCCCAACATGTCGACCGTAGCCATGGGCCGCTCCGTCTCGACGACGGGTGCCGATTCTGGTTCCCAGAACGGCCCGGTCCTGGTGGCAAGGAAGATCAATGTGTCGTCGGGCATCTCCAGCCGCATCAAGGCATTGGAGAAGTTCTCCAGCAGTCGCGACGCCCCTTCTACGAACGGCCAAACCCTCGCCGCCCCCTCCGCTGCCTCCTTCGAGACTCTTCGCAAAGGCTACTCGGGACCTTCGATGCCCCGACCCCTCTCATACGCTCCTGAATCTTTCTCGCGCTCAGCAAGTGTGAGACGACCTAGCTCACAGGCGGGCCCTGGCCTCGCTGGTCCTGGCCTCTCGCGCTCTCCTAGCTCGGTCTCTGTGACCGCTCGCATTGTTCGCGATCCCACCGCTGCTGAAACTAACCCGAACGCCGACCCATCCGAGCCGGCCGCCCTCAATCTACAACCCAGCCAGATTACTGTCGAACAGGAAACTACACAGCTCCCAGTGTTGAGTCTGCAAACAGAACCTACCATCACTCCGTCGGAAGATGATACTTTGCCCCCGTCCTCTGCTGGATCCGACCAGCAATCCTCCGTGTCCATGCAGCGTCCGGAGAGTCGAATCTCTACCCCTACATCCATCAAAGAAGAAGAGGTAGCATCACCCGCCAAGTCGTCTGGTGATGCGCCCTCCTCCCCTGATGAGAAGAAGGAATCCCGTGCGACGCGACTCCTGCGCCGCATGTCCTCTATCACTTCGCGTAAGAGCGTTGTTGGTGTGTTGAACCCTATCAAGGGAGATGACCATGTGGTCCCCATCAAGCTTGAGGAACCCGAGAGGCCAGTCTCGAGGGCGACGGAGGTGGCTCCGGCGATCGATATTGGCGAGGTCAATGTGCAGTTTCCTGACACTCTCCTGTGGAAGCGTCGGTTTGTCCGCATTGATGACCAGGGTTATCTGATCCTGACGCCTGGCAATCTGGACTCGACCAACCGCAACCTGGTCAAGCGGTATCATATGTCCGAGTTCCGCACTCCTTGCCTGCCGGATGAAGACCGCCAGGAGCTGCCCAACAGCATCCTGCTGGATTTCCTGGACGGCAACACTCTCCAGTGCGCCTGCGAGTCGAGACAGGGGCAAACCTTTGTGCTTCAGAGTAAGTCGCCTGCCTTGATACGTTCAAC